CTGGCTGGGGAATTCTGGGAGCTGAAGTCCACCCATCTTCAAGCTGCCAAGGCTGAGAAACACTGGCTTAGATTGTGATCCCCCCCTTGGCAGGATAGATGTTCACTCCTGGGGTCCGTGTGTCCCAACTCTGACCTTTCTGCCCTTCCTGGTAGTTGCTGAAGCTATGCAGTGCCATGCTGGAATCCGGGCGCCAATACTGCAGCCACAGCAAGAGCTTGGCATGTGGGATTCGGGAACTTTCCCAGCATTCCTCGGGGGATGCGTTGATGAGCGTAAGTGGACTCTGGTGGGAGGGGCTGGGGGTGCCCCAAACTGGCGGGGGAGCTGGGCTGTCTTTTGGGAGAGCCTCCGGCTGGGGAAAGGACCGGGCATCAGGGCACTGCGTGGCTCTCGGCTGCTCCGTGTCCCAGCTGGTGCCACCTGCTCATCTGCCTCACCGGGAGGGAGGCGGCACAGCTGGAAAGATGGGTTTGGCCCTGGCCTTTCTGGGGAGGGGATGCGTGTGATGGAGCAGCAGCCTTTTGCCCCCAGTGTGAGGTTGGCCGAGAAGAGCCGAGTGTGAAAAGCAAAGTCAATCATCCGAATTGGGTGATGTTATTCGAGGGCGACAGTTGGAGAGGGAGGAAGGGCTGGGCTGCGTCTGAAGCTGGTCTCGGTTCCAGAACTGGTATCCTCGTGCATGGGGGAATGGCCAGGTTCTGCCTCTGAGCACGTGCAGAGGGCCTCGCATCCAACCTCAGCTGGAACCTGGGAAGTCGCCGAATGCTGAGTCCGATGGCTGTATTGGGCACCCTGCTGCCTGGGTGCGATGGGAGTTGTAGTCCAGCCCCTGAGGTCTGAACTCTCCAGGTCTGGCTGAAAATGGGTTGGCCTCAGTTTCACCCGAACTGAGTGCCGAGAAGACAAAGAGGGCGAGTTTAAAATCATGGTCCCGGGACGAAACGCCACGCGCTGTTTCCTCTTTGTAAATTGAGTTTTCGTTTCTCGGCTGCCGACTGCAAGCTCCAGAAATGAGTCCCTGCAGCCTGCAAACCCCTAGACCGAATATTCCTCACCACAGTGTTTTTCTTGTGATTTAATGCATTCTCTTCCTGCAGGAATGCCTGGAAAAGTTTTCCCAGGGGCTGAACAAAATGATGGAGCAGCATGAGGTGAATCGCTTCATCCCCCCTTCCTTTGGCCCTTCCCCTTTTTAATTCAGCCTCCCTGCTGCTGGCCGGCCTTGAAAAAAACTAAGCCGGGCCCATGAAGGATGGGAGACCACCAGGAAATCGCAACCCTGTAAGCGAGAGGGGAAGCTCAGAAGAAGCCCAGAGAATGGTACTGTAATAGCAGACTTCTGCTGCACTGTTGCATCGACGTGTCCTTCCGGTCATCAGGGCCCGAGCTTGGATCAAAGAAATCTTTTCTGTCTAAACCAGCATTTTCCTGTATGGGAAAGCTGCCCCTTTAATCCCCGGAGATGCGGAATAAGAGAACCCTTTTTGATCTCCGGCAAAGAAGCCGCGATCCGCTTTGGATCCCTTTCTCTGCCCGCTTTAAATCCCTCTTCCGTGGATCTGGATTCCACCCTCCTGCTGAGCAGATGGTTTCCTCCTGTTTCCTGTGGATTTTCTTCGCGTTTCCGTGGAGGATGTGGCTCACGCGGTAGAGCTCACAAGCCAACCCCTGGGTTGGGGCGGCCCTTGGAGATCCTCCAAAAGTATGTTATTCAGGGCGGTGGAAAGGCAGCATTTTTAAGCATACGGGGAGCAAGTGTATTTTAAGTTAAAAACTAAGAAAAGATTCTCTTGCATCAAAACTTGACCCCTGATGGCTTTGTGGACCCTCCCTTGTAGTTTTCTTGGCAAGCACAGGGGTGTTGTAGACCTGCCAGTCTAGCTTGCAGCTGGGGAGATTTCCTGGTGGTGTCCCATCCACACCTGAAGATTCAAAAGGCCCGATCCTGCTTACATTTTATACATCTTGTTTCACTGGAGTTTGCTTGCTTCTCACCCCCCCTGCAGCGCCATGCTTAAAGTCCTCTTTTTGTCGCAGGAACTCCTGGAGACCACCCAGCAGTCCCTCAAGCAGCAGCTGCAAACTCTGGTGAAGGAGTAAGTCT